AATGCTGCTGATAATAGTGGTAAAACTGCTCTTCACTGGGCCGCAGCTGTTAACAACGTGGATGCTGTTAACATATTACTTGTCCATGGTGCGAACAGAGATGCACAGGACGATAAAGACGAGACACCGCTCTTCCTCGCTGCAAGGGAGGGTAGCTTTGAAGCCTGTAAAGCTTTACTCGACACATTCGCCAACAGAGAAATAACAGATCACATGGATCGATTACCGAGAGATGTAGCTAGCGAAAGGTTACATCATGATATCGTCAGATTACTAGACGAGCATGTACCTAGATCACCTCAAATGGTGACCGTCATGCCGAATGGTCCTCTAATAGGTAAGCATTTAATTTACATATATTTCTCTATTGTAATTTGTACATTTAAAAAAGAAATCATTGTAACATTCGATATTTGTACTTATAGGATCACCAAATCATCCTCAACTTATCACACATCCAACCGTTATCGGTTCCGCACCAAAACAAGCGAAATCGAAGAAACGGCCAAAAACTGGTGGTACGGGGAACCCAAACAGTCCAGAATCCGAAGGAGCAGTGGTGGTCATGAGGCGAAAGCCATCGGTAAAGAAGCCACCAGCGAAGCGTGGCGCTCAACCCCCAAACCAGGAAATCCCTCAGGGAGCAGAGGGAGCCGAGGGAAACCTACCAAGCCCGTACGACAGTGCGAGCCTTTACAGTAACGCCTTGCCTTTAGTGGGTCATACGGCGACAGCGAAACAACCGCCAGCGTACGAGGATTGTATAAAGGGACAGTCCATGCCAGGCTTGCAACAGCTTGGCCTTGACACATTCAGTAGTAGTAACTATGGGCTGCCAAATTTTCACGACCAACTATTAGCCTCGCATCAGAGACAAACGCAGGGTATGGTGAACACGTTATCGCCACCGTACAGCAATCAGTCACCGCCACATTCAGTACAGTCAAACATGACGCTCTCTCCTCAAGCGAGCTATATGGGCTCGCCATCGCCAGCAAAAAGCCGGCCGTCACTTCCCACATCACCAACGCACATCGCCGCCATGAGACAGGCGACGCATCAAAAACATGGAGGCATGCCACCAGTGGGGTTCGATTTTGAGAATTTACCTTATTCCAGTCAACAACAGCAGCAGCAACAACAGCAGCAACAGCAGCAGCAACAGCAGCAGCAACAACAACAACAACAACAGCAGCAACAGCAGCAACAACAACAACAACAGCAGCAGCAGCAACAGCAGCAACAACAACAACAACAACAGCAGCAGCAGCAACAGCAGCAACAACAACAACAACAACAGCAGCAGCAGCAACAGCAGCAACAACAACAACAAAGTACGCAGCAACAACAACAACAAACACAACAGTACTATCAGTACTTGACGCCACCATCTCATCATTCTGGGCCGGACGTAACGCCGCAACATTTAATGCAAGCGCCGGAAAGTTTTCCGACGCCTTCACCGGACAGCCCCGGACATTGGTCCTCGAGTTCACCTCACTCGAACAGCGATTGGTCCGAGTGTATGGCATCGCCGAACGCTTACGGTGCTGGGGGTGGAGCTCATCAAAGTAACAAGGGCTCGGAGGCAATTTATATATGAAACGAGCAAACGCTCTCTTTCTCGCCCGAGTAAATCGTAGCTTTTTATTGTGAGAGAAAAAAGAAGATACGAAGAAAGGAAGAAAGAGTATATACTGTGATTAGCTCGTCGAGATCGAGAGTAATAGTTGTTTCATTAGCGTGAAAACATACACGAGCCTATGAAGAGGCCATTGCATAACAATAAATTGTGCCTTCGAGTGCTATATAGTGTGTTAGATAAGTATATGTAGAAGAATGTATTAAATTATGTGTTTCGAGAAGCACAATGTTTCCTAATGGCCTTTTAATGAATACGTTTTTTACTGATTTTGTGCGAATTGTAAGATATATATAAAGTATGAGTGTCTGGTTGAGGAGAGTGTCAGAAAGATCTTTCTTTTTTTCTTATTCTTTTTTTATTTTTTATTTTTTCTTGTACGATCGTTTATGAACGTACAGTTCCATACATAAACATTCCATACGTATGGCATTCTTTTTATAGTTGTTTTCTTACTTCCTCGATGTTATTCCTATCGAGAGGTGCGATCCATCATCTTAACAAAAGTAGTATAATTATTAATGTTTACTTCTTTCAACAAATATGGATCATTTTTACATTTAGAGTGCATCGATGGGTGTTGATACGTTTCTCTGACCTCTCTTCTACCCGAAGTAGCCGAAAGAGAGTTTAAATAATAAGAATTTGTAGCGCAGTTAAACGGTACGAAAATTAGATACTATAGATTGTTGTGAGAGAAAAGAGATTATTATTATTATTTTTATTATTATTATTATTATTATTATATTAATATTATTATATTAATATTATTATATTAATATTATTATATTAATATTATATTATTATTATTGAATTATTATTATTATTATTGAATTATTATTATTATTATTATTATTATTATTATTATTATCGTCATTATTATTTTCACCATCATTACTATTATTACATAATTATTACTAGTAGTAATAGTCGAAAAAGTATAGTTCTTCGCGCGCTTGCAATATGTCGCCAGTGACACGTTCGATAAGTAAACATGGACATATTGGAATCGGGATTCACGTAGAACTACTAACTCAACCTCTACTTTATAAAAAAAAAAAACAAATAATTTGTAAATAGTATCTCCTCTTCTTCTTTTCTTCCGTTTCCCTCTGCAACTCACTTTGCACCCCCTATCGAGTACTTTTTTATATAATTACCTTTTCTCTCGATTTTGTACATTATTTTACATGTTTTTTTTTTTTTTTATAAAATGTAAGTTAGCCGTTTTTTATTATAAAATGATTCGTATGTCGTAACCACATCATTCTCTTTTCAACATCTAAATAACGAATTATGTATTTCTTGTTGTGTTAAGAATTAATTCTAGCTATCTTTAGTGCTGTTCTGAATTATGCATTAGCATAAAAGAAAGTTCTCTTCCTATAAATGAAATCTAAGGGATCTACATAATACTTGTGCCTATATCGTAAACTTATTCATTGAAAGAAATGAGAAATTCTATATTTATATATGGCTTTTATCTTGATCTTATAAGAAAGTATCTTTATGCGATTTGCCCTTATATTGCCAAAATTTATGCGGGTACTGCCAAATACATGACAATAAAAATATGAAGAAGAGAAACGTGTATGTATTTTTGTAAGATTTATATGAGATAGAAAATTATTAATGGAACTTTAATGCGTTTGTTATCGAAAAAGTAAACAATTATCTTGTTTCGCGTATAACGAGGATATACTGTTATTTGAAAAAAAAAAAGAGAAAGAAAGAAAGAAAGATACTGTGTAAAAGTTAAATCACGAATCTACGTTGTTCATTAGTAATAATAATAATAATCGTGAAAGTTTTTCAACGATACATGGACAATATATACATATATAAATTCATTGTTGTACGATAGAAAGCAGTTATTATGTGTTCATAATTCATTTCCAACTGCTCTCTTTTTCTTCTTTCGAATCATCATATTTCTGTGTTAAAGAACAAAAAAAAAAGAACAGATTTAAGGATATACTGATATAGCCTAAGATCCACTTATAAATAAGTTCTTATAATTACGATAGATCTTGTTATTTCTTGTAACTTGTAAAAAGTACTGAGATTTATTCGTATTAACTATTTTATAAGCGAACTAAGAATTTGTTCGATCCTATTATTATATCCTATCCCGTTCCCAACTACTTGATCCCATATTTTTATAAATAAGTTATGCCTTTTAAACGGATGTAATAATAAAGATAATCTAACATTCACGATAGGTTCGTTGTTCTTTTATATAGATATATTTTTTTGTTCTTTTTTCTTTTTTTTTTTTTTAAATTGCTTTATATCTCATCATGCAAAATTGGACGGAATTATTAATGTATGTTTTTCAAATGTATTGATAAGGTTTATATAGGTGGTCACTGGCAATTATACTTTTTTTTATTACTTATACTTTGGTTTTATTTTTTGTACACATTTTGATCATCATTGCATATGATTTAATATCATAATTTCTTTATATAAATATAAACTTATTATATATTATTGTTAAAAACGCATATATATATATATATATATATAGATATATAATTAATTAAATTTACCGCGAATCAAGTGCCACTCGGGCTCCATCTATCGGTGTAATCTCAACTAACAACAAGCGAAATAAAAGCATTAAATATATATAAGTTCATTTTATAAATTCAATATTACTTATTAATTAATATTTAAATTCATTATGAATACTTAGATCAATTTATTATTAGTTTTCATTTATCTTATTTTGAAAACAAAGACTTATAATTTATAAATTATTTACGATAAGTGCGTTTTCATATAAAAGGCTTCAATTTTCTTTCTTGTCCTCTTCGTTCGTAACGTTGACCAAGAAGTGGGAAAAAATAACATTTATTGAAGGTGAACCGCGATTTTATCGCAAAAATATTTAACGTCCAACTCGAAAGTCACCTAACTATAGCTAACGATACACCATTAGCTATAGCGACAATACAAACCCAATAGAAAAGAGAACAAAGATCAATTTCAATAAATAATTCAGCAAAACTACGAGATATTATTCACATTTAATAATTACTCCAAATGAATTATTTTTTTTTTCGTCTTCATAAAATGATCAACACCGCAAATTTTTTATATACATACAAAAAAACTGTTTATTAAATTTGAATCTTTTTATTTGGACATTGATATTAATACGCGTATTACAGAACTTGCAATTGTGCAATGAATAAAGAGGCATATTTGTAATTAGTTATTTTCTTTTGTTTTGTTTATTGTCGAGTTAAGGAGAGCAACGAGTGTCGCCGTAAATAAACAATTATCTCATTCGCTCTCTTTCTTTTTAAATGTTTTTCCCTTCTATGCATTTTTTGTTTCTTTCTTTTTTCTTCTTTCTCTTTCTCTATCTTTCTGTCTCTGTCTGTTCCTCTCTCTCTCTCTCTCCCTCTCTCTCTTTCTCTCCCTTCACGTAGTTTTCCCGCTTCCTTTTAAAAAACTCGTCGGCGAACTAGCGGGAAAATTCAACCGGTGTCAGAAGTGCAGGATGACGTGTCGGCGATACTCTGATCGTTGTTGCTTTCCGTCGATGAACTGTCGTTGCTCTTAATTCGCCTTTTACGCAGCTTCGCGAACTGAAACTCCTCGACTGGAACTGTACACGAAGAATAATTGATATCAACTTAGCTTTGTTTATTTTTACTTTTCAAAGTTTGGTTTTGTAGAGGAAAGAGGGGGGAGCCAACAGGCTCGAAGGTTGTTCATTCTCGAAAAAAAAAAACGGGAAAAATGAAATGAGTAGTATCTTTTAACGAAATTGACGATAAAGGCTCCTCATATATTTAATTTTTCTTTTATCATGCTATCTCCTAAATTTTACCGCATTATACAACATTTATAAGATAAATATGTTACAGTAGAAGTACGTTCTTTTATTTTTTTTATTTTTTTACTCTCTATTCTTCTTTACACGTTGTTTGCATTTGTAACATAAGTATTTACTTCGACTGTAACATGTACATTCAATGACACTCATCATTCATCGTCGATACAAGGTACCATCACTTTGTTCATTAACATTAAAAAATATTATCCATCATCAATTTAGTGAAATTTACATCGAACGAACTTTGCTCGTGAATACGTTTGTTTTCCTTGTTTTTTTTTTTTCTTTTTTTTCTTTACAATGGAATAAAATCTCAAGTAATCGCAGCTTTAAAATCTGTATAGCACCAGTAGCAACAATTCCTAATTTCTTTTTATAAGTGTGCACTAATATATTTTTGATTAAAAACTTTATAACTAGTAAATACATATTAATTGAATTGAATGGCAGAATACTTTAGTTTAGTATTTTATAAGAATATTTATCTAAATATACTCTTATTAAATATATGTAATTATCTAAAGTTTTGAACTAGAAGTTTTGAACTAGAGATAACATAATAACTGTAAGTAGGCAAGAAATTGAGTTTCTTAATATTTATAAATTTTTTATAACACTACTAGATAGATAAATCTGTATTTTCTGTCATTGACATTATCTTTAAACGTCATCTTTATTAGAATAGAAAACTATGATTTTTTTTATGATAAATATGTAATATCGTATGTGAACGGTATTGGGCAATATACAATATTTCTGTGCAATTAGTTTGATAATATAAAAAACTTAAAACTTATAATTATATATAGCATTACTTTATGCAAGATTACATATAAAGAGTAAATGAACTCTTAAATGCAAATTGTCATTTATATATAGCACGATGACAAGAAGCTTCCTAATAGCGATATACAAAACATACTGTAGATACTGTAAACGATAAATAATTAATTATATCTTTTATATATATATTATTTTTTATAAATGACGATACAATAAAGAAAATGTTAAAGTTAGTACTTTGGCATTGCACACACAGTTTTTGTATATATTATAGGAAGCATTCCTACAAGCATGTAAACTACACAGTGAATACTTTGTTGAAAACATCATTAACATTATGAGTCAGAAACGTTTAATAAAAATTCATTACCAATCGTGTATATATTGAAGAATCGAACAATCATTCGAAGATAATGTTAATTCACTGTATAACTGTATTATTATTTCAAGTACAATTATGGTTACCATCTGAATCTGGATCTCTCTCTGTATCATTGACCATAGCACTTGGCAGGGGAACTATTTCTGGTTCCAATGGCTTTACTGGACAATCAATATCTTCAACAATGACTTCTTCCGCTAAACTGCTTCTTACAGCCTCTGTGACATTAGTTAAATGCTGATATTCAAATACTCTATCATATTTTTCATATTTAACATACCGTTAAATGCCTGCGGATATTGTTGACTTAATTTAGTTTTCACTATACGTATTCTCTTGAAAATGAAATCCAAGTCTTTCTTCATTTCAATCAATAAAGCAGTATGCTTTTTAAATTCAGCTCCTGCCAATTTAAGCCTATTTATTGATAACTGATTGCAATTGGTTAACATTTCATTGGTTTTCTCAAATCTCTGTAACCTAAAATATAAATAAATCCAATCCTTATTATATGGAAAATAGTTTAAAAATAATTATTAAAAATTGTATGTAAATGTAATATTCACATCTGTTTTTGAGCTCGTATCATAGATTCTACATCTTGTTGATCAACAATTCCTGCCAGACCTTGTATGAACACCTCTGGTGCTGTATAATTTTGAAAACATTCAAAACTTCCAGTATCTGATTCTGGTGTTCCTTGTGTAGTTGTCATGATTCTTATATCTCTTGGTAAAAACTTTTGTAATTATTTTTTCACAAATTCTCCCATTCAAAAATACAAAATTTGTTTGTAATTTCACATTCAAAGTTTTTGACTCAATATGCAATAATAACAAGTTTCTCACTACAGTGAATCTCTATATACATATATTTAATATACTTTAAACATTTATCAAAACATAACATTTTTCAAGACATAGTAATAATACCATCAAATTATTTTATTGATCTTTGACTGTCAAACTGACACTCCATCGTTTCCGCCATTATCAAGTTATCCTCAACTCAGTGTTGGGATTCACATTCACGTTACTTCAAATACATATCTACGATGAAACATTTATTATTTTAATGAAATATTGTTTTAAAAATAAAATATTTCGTATTAATTATTGTTTAAAAAGTCAAAAAGTTGTACAAAATTGTCAATTTAATAAAAAAATTCAAAAACTTTTTTAAATCGTGGCGCCACAATGAAATAAAAAACAATAAAAAAATATCGAAAATGTCACTTGATATTTATTGTTTTACACAGCTGTTCAATGTTGATTACATCAGAAAAATCAAGTTCTAATTCTTTCAAATTAATCCACCGTTATGTGCAATTAAAAAATATTAATTACGATTAATTTGTTGATATTTGCAACGTAATAAGTAACGCGTTTACACGGGGGAGGAGAACGTCAACAGCTGTTCGTTGTTCGATGTTTTCAAAACTGATAATAGCACGTGAGACATTCAAATTTTCACAGTGACTGTTGTCCCTTGAAGCAAAACCTTGTCATTATAATCTTGCTAAAATAAGAAACTTTATTGATAATACTATTGTGTGTACTTGCATTTAAAATGGCTCAAAACATCAACCCGTTTTATTCTTCTCAAAACACACCGAGTAAAGCTACAGAAGAAAAACAGAGCAAACCTAAAGATAATCATGCAGTTAGTAAACGGTACGTCTTCCACTAATACGTCTAATTTTTTCTTTTACTTTTCCTATCAATATTATACTTTTATATTTGTCATTTAATTTAAATTAGACTTTTTTCTCACTGGTTATTCTAAAATAGTTAATTGGTTCAAAAAAATTCATTCGGTTACACGAATATGTTATTGAACAACATAACCTTAGATTTTAATCAAAATAATATCTAATCATTGTACTTAAATGCGTGTTTAGTGTATACAGAATGTTGATTAATATATTTACTCGAGTACTTTGTTATTATGAAGATTGTTTATTCACTTAATGAAATTATAAGCATTTATTTAATTAGATAGTTCATTCATACATTCTTATTATTAACATTAAAACATTTTATGAGTGCTTATTAAGAAAATATATGTCTTAGGCTACAAAAGGAACTTATGGTTTTGATGACGAGTACAGACAAAGGAGTTTCTGCTTTTCCAGAAAGTGAAAACTTATTCAAATGGATTGGAACTATTACGGGACCTAAAGATACAGTGAGTTTATTTAGAGAATAGTTTATTTTTATAAAATAATTTATATTTATCATATTTTTGATTTATGTTTTGTATTTTTATATATCCATAAAACATTTCAATTTATGTGCTTTAGGTTTATTCTGGCTTTGTATATAAATTGACCTTGGAATTTCCACATAGTTATCCATACAGTGCACCAATAGTACGATTTGCCACCCCTTGTTTTCATCCAAATGTGGATTCGGTTGGAAATATTTGTTTGGATATATTAAAAGATAAGTGGAGTGCTTTGTATGATGTTCGTACAATTTTATTATCTATACAATCTCTACTTAGTGGTAAGTAATTTTAATTATATTTAAATGATATAAAGTTGAATCTTCAATATTTTTTTCTTTTTTATATACATATATATATATATATATATAATTATTTTTGTATGTAACAGAACCTAACAACGATAGTCCACTTAATCCCTTGGCAGCAGAATTGTGGAGCGATCAAACAAAGTATAAAAAGCTCTTAACGGAAGAATATCACAGAAATCACAAACTTAATCAAGATTCATGATAAGTCCATAATTATAATCATTCTGAATCTTCATTGCTATTATTCCTATCAGTGTTTTGATTATAACTAAGTAAAAAGTTGAACCTTATATGCTTCTAAGACTTATTTACATTGACATGAAATCTTTAGATTCATCTTTCATTAGTCTAAAGTGTAATATGGGAACAACATTACATGCTTCGCTTTATTGCATTTGTCCTTAAACTAATTATTTTTGTTCTTACCACGAAATTAATTTCATAGAATCTCTGATTTCAAGATTAGGTAAGAACATTTTAGACATTTGCAATTAAATCGGATTTTTTATGAAAAGTATTTATTTATTTTACACTTAGTAATATATCTTGAATATCAACATCATATTTGACAAGTGCATTTGGTATAAATATATATCTCCATTTCATTTATAATCATTGTATAATTCCAAAATAAATATTTTAAACTGATTATACTAATTGAAGAAACTTATTTGATACCAAAAATTTATTTATTCAAATTTATTTATTTTTAAGTACTAGGTACCCGGACATTTGTTATATAGAGTCAGATAACAGACTGTAATAATAAATCATGCATTTAAAATACATAGATACACAAAACATTTTGAAAATCATTCAAAAACAATGTATTAAGATTATAAGGAAGTCATATTTTATTATTTTTGTTAATGTATCTTGTAAATTTAATTTGAATCGGAAAATAACTGAAGTAGTTATATCTAATCTTTTCTTAGATAATTTTTATTAACTTTGTGCTTACTCATACATTACTACAATCTCAGTATAGAATGAAACATGGCGGCGTTACCTGTGAGGTTTCTTTCAGTTGCACATGCATTTACCAAGAAAACATCATTCAATTTTTATAAGCATAATATACAAATAGCGTGTACAACAACGGCACGAGCATTTTCAATGAAAACAAATTCAAATTTTGAGGTAAATGATACCTTGATTTACTAATGAAATAATTTTTTATTTTCATATGTGTATTATATTTTTCTAGGAAAAGAAGATCAATGTCAATGGCTTCGATATTAACTATGTCAAAGTTGGTGTTGGTGACCATACAGTCCTTTTATTACCTGGTGCCTTAGGTAATTAAAAAATTACATATTTATACCCACAAATGTATTAAATTTTATGAATTATGAAGTAAGTTGATTGAAATAACTATGTGAAAAAGATATCAGTATACAGGTATTGTCACAATAAGTTGTAGTGTTAACGTTTATCGGTAAAGTAGGAAATGCTAATAACGAACATACCTATGTATGATACATTTATTATTAATATATTATACTATATTAATACATTATAATACAATATATATAATATAATAATATTATTATAATTCTTTTAATAATATAATTATATTGAATATAATAATAATTAATATATTTTATTAATTATTAATTATTAATTATTATTATTATTATTTATTTCTTTATTAAGTAATTTATTATTATATTTATGTATTATTTATTTATAACTTGTAAAAAAATACGTTTTAAATATTTGTTCATTTATTATTATTAATGGTTCGTTTTATTTCTAGGAACTGCCTGGACTGACTTTAAACCTCAACTGGAAAATCTTGATAAAAATAAATTAACCATAGTAGCATGGGATCCACCTGGATATGGAAAATCGAGACCACCTGACAGAATATTTTCTGATGACTTTTTTCAACGCGATGCCGATTATGCTTTTAATTTAATGAAAACTTTAGGATATAAAAAATTTTCTTTAATTGGTTGGAGTGATGGTGGTATCACATCTCTCATACTTGCTGCTAAAAATCCTGATAACATTCGTAAGATGGTCGTATTTGGTGCGAATTCTTACATCATTCCCGAAGAACTCAAAATTTACGAAAGTAATCATTTATTCTAAGCTTTTATATTTACATATTATTAAAATTATTATCTTATGAATAACGAAGATCTATAAATATTTTATTCTATTTTAAGGTATTAGAAACATCGACACGTGGTCGGAAAAAATGAAACAACCAATGATTGAAGTTTATGGAGAAGAGTATTTTAGAAATACTTGGTCCAGTTGGGTAGATACTATGAAAAAAATTTACGAAAAAAACAAGGGTGATATATGTAAAAACGATTTGCCTAAAATAAAGTGCCCTACTTTAATTATACATGGGGCTAAAGATGTTATTGTAAAGCCAGAACATCCAGATTATTTAAAAGATCATATACTAAATTCCAAGTATATATATTTTGCATTTTTTTTCTACTTAATTGTACAAATTATATTAATTTTAAATATATATTTAAAATTTTTGTTACAGAGTTACAATATTTGAAAAAGGAGCTCATAATTTACATTTAAGATATCAAGACGAATTTAATGCCTTGACAACGAAGTTCCTAACTGAAGATTAAAAATATCTTTTATATTGTCATTTTTTTAATAAGGACAAGTTTTACTATATTTGTACGTATTCTATTACTTCTACATAGACATATAATTGAAATCTTCATCCTACGAAGAGCGTGCAGGTCAGACATATTTATCTTACTTAGGAACCTAGTATCATAACCGGATCGTTGAACGTCACAAGTGAGAAAGGTATAGAACTCGAAATCGTTTTTGGTCGTGGCTCGCCGAAAGAGGCTTAACGTTTCCTTTGCCCACGCTGTATCGCGATTCTCCTTTCTCTGCTTGAGTTCTGATGCCGGTTATCCCACGTACGTCCTCCGTGCCAGGTCATACGATCGACGTGCCCGGTCGTAGCGAACCGACTAAGTACCTAGAGTGGTGCCTCTTAAAAAACATAAATCAAGTGTCACGGTATTGAATTTCACCTCTTCTATAGCTCCTCTTTTCTATTCTAAGATGTTCGAACGAACAACAGTCTTAGCAAATTGCTATTGATCCATACTCCATAATAAAGAATCTCTCTTACAAGTTTGTCAGCATTTTTCTTCTTTAGCCAAACGAGCGATATTATTTTTAATTTCACAAATATTTCATTATTTTGAAGTCTTATTAAAAGTTACAAGTAATGAACGTGATAAGTCAAAGGACATATAATTGATCAAATCATTTTATTAATTGTCCTAGATTACTTTCTATTTCTATTACAAGATTAACAAGATTATTATTACGATAACAAGCTGTTGTAAGTACGGGAAGTGTCGCTTATGTAATGCCAAGGCTATGGAGTCATTTGATGAAGGTGATTTTTATGAAGGCGTTTACTTACGAGCTTCATCGAGCTTTAAGTAATTATAATATCAAACATTATTATTATATGCAATCGTTGCTCTACATTCTACACATATTATTTTAAATTTGCATTCTATAAACTTTTTGTTGTTTAAATGGATAAGGAAACAATATGATATGAGCACTAGATAATGGACACGTACGATCGTAGATCTGACATCCGTTCACTACTTTGCCACTAGCATAACAAGTATATAACATCTAATCTGCATATCAATCATGCACTACACTGGTGACTGCTCGATACGTCATAACGAGATTCTCGATCTATTGATATAAACGTATCTACGATTTTATTCTAGATAAAATTATCGATTTTTGTTGTTGTTATCGTTTCGTAGAAGTAGCATTCCGTATGAACATTTATATTTATTTTACTTTATATGCAAGTTTTTTTAATTGACTTGTTTCGCCCAAGAATATAGAAATAATTTATAGATTTTCTAAATTTGCATCTTATTTTTTAAATAATAGACTTTCTTGCATGTCCTGTTATCAAATTTATATTTGATAACTTTTAAATTCTATGATGTAGTATAGGATATATAATGTTCTTTATTTAAATTTTATTAACATACTCTTAATATTTCTCTATTACAGTAGAAAAACATTGAACGATGTCATTTGCGAGGTTGCGTTTAAAGAGAGAGAAAGAGAGAAAGAGAGAGAGAGAGAGAGAGAGAGAGAGAGAGAGAGAGAGTGAAAGAGTACAACGAATTCAACGAGCTAATAAAGAAGTTCCTCTCGGGGCAGACATAGTTCGACTAGTAGCTATTTTCGTCGTATGAATAACAGTGAGTTTAAAGCAATACAATAATTTTAATAAACCTTATAAATAATGAGATTATATTGTTTACATTATACATATGATATATAAATATATATTATATATCTGTTTATAATACGTGTTGTATTTATAAGAGCGTTGCTTTTCTTTATGTTCTATCATAATTAATGTTCGCTGAGCTAGTTCGCATGCACTCGTGCTTTTCTGCATTATAAGCGCATACTAATTTTTGCGTACACGTTAAATATTTTCTTTTTTATTATTTTTACCAAGTGGCCTGATATTCCTTTATTCCTTATAATATAAAACTCACGATCACTTCAATCGTGACTAGAAAAAGATTTACGAACATACGTGAATCGAAAGTTATATTTTTCTTGATATTTTTTCAGCTTGAAAATTCTCTCTGTTTTCATGTTCTCAAATTATGAAGAACATCGTTCATACTTGTAAAAATATCAAGGGAGAAAAGTTAAGATTTTTCAAAGATAAAAGAGAAACATTTTTCGAACTTTTGCTATATTCTCTTTTTACATTGGCCTTTATGTACGATCTGTCCTATAAACTTCCTAATGAAGTTCAACTAGTATAAACGCGCATAGCTTAATTAATTCCGTCTGGAGATTGAATAATTAATCCCCCTTTCTTTGCTGTACCAGTTATGTACAGTTCTCTCATTAGTTTCGCTTTAAGCTCGTGAATTCTCTTGTTAAATAATATTTATTGTTAATATTAAACATATTTAGTCTCCTGTTAATATTATTTACTATGACGTTATGTTAATACTTGTGCATGGTATGTATTTTATTAATAAAACGTTTGAGATTCTATTTCAGCTAAAAATAAAATGAACGACATCGATTCTACTTTCATTAAAATTACATTTAATATAAATTTGATCGAAACAATAGAGCCAAATGACGAATTTTAATTAAAAACTTTTCGGTCGCGCCGTTTTACGATTGATCGCGAGGCAAATAGCCAAAACGTCCGCAATGCGCTTCTCCACGGACAAAAATCAATGGTTCTGCCACAAGCGAACTCTATATAATTTTAAACCTGCGCCATCTTTAAATTATACAATATGATTTTATTTCACGATTGTTCATTAATTGGTTGATCGAATATTTGACTTTATTCAAATAGATAATAATTTATTTTATTTGTTTAATTTACGAAATTTAGACGTACACTTTCCCGAACTGTAAGACACGATTAGGGTAGTAGAAAACCTTTTTAGATAAAGTATAAGACCACGAATTTGCATTATTGGTATCTCGAGACGAAACGAATATCGGTATATCATCCGTTACTTTCGTAGAAAGTAGTTTCGTGCTACTTATTATACGAACACCTTTTGTGTAAAATGCGATGCAAGTCTTTTTCAGTACAAAACTGCAGGTACATTTTCTGAACATGGCGTAAAACGATACTGGAGTTTCATTTATATATAAAGAAAAAAAAAACGTTCGATTCTTTTTAAAGCAAATTTTATCTTGTCAAATAGTTAATGTTTTATTTTTTTTATAATTTTGTACGAGTTATTCTCATTTGTTATACTCATTTTTGTTTTCGATTATATGGAATGGTTTAAAAAAGAGCGTATAATAGACCTGATAGGAGATAGCTGCCCTCGTGACCCCAAGTAACCCTTAGGGAGCGTTTTGCATATAAAGGACAGGGCGTATGAACGATAAAGTTCGACCATTAGTTGAATTAACTACGCCCATCTAGACCTTAATTCAAACGAGCTTTTTTTCAGGCTAATAGTTCTAGAAGATATCGTTATTTCATTGGATGATAATGTTGCTAGATTAGAAAAGAAAAATCTTATAACTAGCCATATTACAGAAAATTATATTCACGTTTATTGCATTGCAGCTTGCATTGTTTTTCATTATCTTTATTAGCATTTTTATTCCATCGTAAAATTTGTTTTGTTTTTCTTTCGACATAATATATTATTTGTACTATTTATAGTATTATTAAATTAACAGATGTTGGATGATTATACTTATCTTGATTACCTTGATATTAGATTAATGGTAACTATCGTGTTGTTTTTAATTAAATTTGTTATTTAAAATATAATTAAAATTGTTATTCTTTTATGAAAGAATTTTTTTTTTTTTAAATAACATTAACTACGTACCATTTTAGCTCTTATGGAGTACAATCTTCACCGATGGTATTAAATGAGGAGAACTGTGACGACGTTGTTACATCATGTGAATCGTATAAACTGAAAGCAACATATAGATATAGGCGAGAACCGTAATAAGAAATAAAAAGAAGTAGGATGGAGAGAATGCAGCGGGTGTAGCCAAATATGGACACATCGTTTCTCTCTTCGATTCGAGTATATACATATGTGTCTGTGCGTTTATATACATTTCTTTTTGTTCTCTTTATTTTATTTTTTTGCAGTTTTCTTTGACGTTTTATCCGTCTCTCACGTCTCTAGTATTTGCTCTTTTTTTTTTTTTTTCAAAGCAACTTTCTCCATCCCCTTTTTCTTCCAACTTTCAAGAACTTCAAAGCAGCACGTACTTACGTTTATACACCACCTCTTAACCCAATACTACTTTTCTTTATTCTCTAGTTCTTATCCTAGGAGTAACATCCCTGTACTTTTATTGGTAAAGCACATTGAATCTGGTATATCAAACACAAGGGACTTATTAAACTTTATTTTTTAAAATATCAAGAATAAATTTTATATACGAGCTGTCACATCATTATTTCACGCTAATTTGTTTATTTTGCAGAAAGTTGTTCTCGAAAAGAGAGAGAAAATATATTATTTCTTTTATGTAAGATTTTTCTTCTACTTTAAAAACAGAATAATGAAAAAAAAAAATTACGTTAATATAATATTTTTTAATGAATTTTAATGAAAATTTTCATGAAAAATTGATGTAAAAATATATTTATATTTTATTTAAAAAATAAAAGAGAGCGATTCAAAGTGTACAACAAGTGTTTCGAATGAAATATTAAAATCAATTTCAAAATGAATTATGGAATCATTGATTCGGTAGTAGGTGTACAACACTGATATATGTATAATTATTTATATAATATGAATCATGTTTCTACTTCTCTGAATTCACAATTGGGCTTTCGAAATAGTTACGTCGTTCAGCAAGTTCTCAGTAAGGACATTCGAAGTTAGACCGTTTCATCGACTATCGATTTAATTTTCTTTCCCTCGACGGTGACAACGAAAACACAACGATAGTATCATTCAATCTTGCCTACATTTACTTTTTTCTTTACAATACTGCAAGCAAACCGCATAATTCATTCTCTATCCATAGAAAGTATAGAGTAGTTGACATCGTTGCAGTTATATTCGTTCGCATCGATGACTAATTCTTCACCTTGTCTTGCCTACGATAGACTATTTTAAATCGATTTTGTTTTTTATTTTCATATTACAAAACACCTATCCATCTTTTCTTATTTCACATCTAATTTAAAATCGATACTGATCGATAACAAACATTTATTTGGTTTTTTTGCTTACTTCTAATTTAACGAATAATATTATTTAATTAATGCATATAATCATATTTATTTTAAGAAATATTCACAATTTTTTAATGCATCCATTCATTCGCAAAATAAAAATGTATTAATTTAAATTTTAATAGATATTTTTCAGATTAGTATTTACCTCGGTATTTTCTCTAAATTTTGTGTTTAGTCATCTTTTATATTATATTATATAATGATGAAAACGTTCTCTATCATTTCTTGATAAAATACGCCTACAAAAGACAACTTTTGTTGAATTGTTTTGTTTTGTTGAATTGTTTTGTTTTGTTGAATTTTTCTGCATAGTAATACACATTTAGAAACAACTAATATCTGATTAATCACGTCACATGAACATAATTTAATTACGCTTACAACGTCAAGATATATTTACTTATTCCAATAAAACTAACAAATTGTGTAACTATTAATCTAAATTTTGCTAAAAAAAAAATACACCGAGTATCAGATTTAAAGATAATCTATCTTCCCGACAGAAGATTGCCATAAAAACTTGAAAGCTCGTAAAGAGTAGTACGATGCAAGTGAACTTTACAAGACGACGTATAGGGTAAACGCAAGTCGATAACTCGCGTGTACTCTCGCACATGAGCGTACACACATACATATATAGACTTTGCTAACGCATCGGTGTATGTTTTAAAAAGGACGACCGTTTCCACGACGTCGACCATTCCACTTGGACTCTGCTTGTTCGTTCGTTCGTCCGTTTTCTCGGCTCGTTTCTTTTCTGCCAACGACGTCGTATAACTTTACGTATATACCGTTGCACTCACGCTCTCGACGTTATAAATTGCAATTTCTCCGGCCACCAAAAGTGTAGGGCCGAGGAACCATGGAGAGACTCCTCCCACACTCGTGCTTGATAAATTCGCAGAAGACGCAACGATGGTTGAAAACATTTTATAAGATTACATAGTTGTTTGCAAAAATATTTTTGTTATTTATTTCCCCCTTCGTAATGTATAACAGAATTTTGAATGTTATTTTAAATTATTTAATAGCGTTTTTTTTTTTATGCATTTGATATTAATTATCGTAGTATTTATTATGTACTGTAATCAAATTTGTTCAAAGGAAAAAATTCTTTTTTCAAATAAATCACTTTTATTATACTGAATATATTTGATATTTCAATATCAAATATTTTGCTGATTTTCCATTGTTTTCCGTTCTGACGGCAAGCGACGATCATACCACGAAATATTCGATTAAATGTTTAAAAAAGAAGTAACGAATACATCGTTGTGACAAATTTGTTGATTGTCTGTTTGAACTAAAATAAGAACAATGCAGCTAATGCAGAAGAATATATTATATTCGGTATAAAAAAAAAAAATCAAAAGGGTTACAATAAAAATGCGAACTCAAAGATAAATTGTGATCACCCAAACCAAAAGTACGTTTAGTGTAATGCTTAACGTGTTAATATTATTACATATATTATTATTCATACTTTCAATTAGTTACTTTCTTTCAAAAATTTGAATTAATTTGTTGATACATATTCATCGATATTACATAGCTTATTAGAATCATAAAATATAAATAAATTATTTGTTAATTTAATAATTATAATAGACTGTATAAAATTAATTTATTATTCATCATTTTTTTTTTTTTGAAATAAAAAAGAACATTCCAAAGAGCATTCTGATATTCATTATTACGTGTTAAAAATGAGTTTTCAACATGAGACGAGCTCGACGTAAAATCTTGCACAAATTAACAAACAACCCTTATTGGTCGAGAAAGTGATCGTGGAAAGACGTCCTCGAGATGAAACGCAATACTGACATGAGAGTTTTCGGCAATGGTAAGTAAAAAATTCGATATAGAGAATTGGGAGGGAAAGCGAGGAGAACGTGACTCAGATTTCAAGAACACCGTTATCGATTCACTTGGTCCCTCATCCTCCTCTTCCATTACCTCCTACTCTTCCACCTCCTCCTTTTCCTCCTCTTTCCTTCATCTTCTTTCTTCGTTAGTAGCGACTTTTTCGAAAGAGAGATTATACATCTTTGTGTCCTCTGTAAGCGGAGAGTCGACGCCATTTACGGCAGCTTGCGACCGTTGTCATCCGTTTTCAGGATCGTTCTACAAGAAAGTGGCTCTGTGTGTCAAAATCGTGGCCTCAATAAATAGTTACACGTGTAATCAACTTGGCTACCTCTTAAACAATTACAATGAAATATTTCGATGTTAAATGATCGATGTGAATTTTTTGTTAAGTTTCTTTTAAATCGATTGCAATTAATGAGCCTTACAAAGCAGAACTTCAATCCATTTTCAGATTGACTTTATCGAGAGAACTCATTTACAAATTTTCTCTAAAGCAAAATAACGATTATTTTTACAAACACTTTTTACTATAATTTTACAAAATATTTGACATAATAATTATGATTAGAATAATAAAATAATTCGGAAGTATAATATATAAAAAAAAAATCTAGTTTTTACTTCATTTCATTCCCAAAACATATTGAAGTATTGAAAGATTTTCCAAGAGATTGGAAAACCACCCCTATCCAATAAAGCTAAAGCTGTCTAACTTGTGTCATCGGAGATATGATAGAGAGTAGAATGGAAGATAAAAAGAAAAAGAATAATGCAAGGATAGAATTTTCATCAGCGATGCCTCTGGATAGTTAACAGAACGATTTCATGTTGTAGTCTTGGTGGTAGACGGATCAATATCTGTGAGAGAGGCTAGGATGTTTCGAAGCAGCTTTCCTCTCTTTCCTCCTCCCCCTCTCTCTCTCTCTCTTTCACTATCTCTTTTCCTTCCTCTCTGTCTCTCTATCTACTTGTGTCCTGCGCATGTATACGCCCGTGGTAGTATTTAGACATATACCTGTCATCGAACATATCCTAAGGATCAATAAAACAGACAAGACAAGGTCTAACATGTATTAAATGCTAGCTAACGCCTAGCTGCTAGATCAAGTGATCTTCTATCTCTTTCTTTCTTTCTCTCCTTCTCTTTCTCTTCTTCAATGACTTCTTCATTTTTTTTTTTTTTAACGAGTCCTCGATCGTGACATTAACCATGATCGCGTTTAATATATCATCGGTATAATGCAAATAGACAATTTGCCAATGGCACTCGCCAATGTCCACGTCGCCAACATTTTTCTACGACGTTAGGCTAAATGTCGATCGATAGACGGCTGACTCAATTCCCCTTTGCATGTCTGACTCAGAAAAAGAACCTGAGTATCGAGCTACCACAAGCATCATCGTTATTGGTAGCACTACCCTTACTGCCTGCAATACACAATGATAATGTTTTCCAAGCTGCTGATTTTGTCAATTATTTTATCGTATTCATTTTATAGTTAAATTTTATGTAAATTGATTTAAATTTTAAATTCATTTCTCTTTATCAGCATTACTATCTTTATTTAACGATTATTTCTTTTAGTTATCGATCTGATCAACGATATTATTTGATTCAATTAATAATTTAAAATTTATCTTAATTGATCGTAATTTTTTGTCTATTTATTTCTTTTTTTCTCTTATTTTTGTTCATATAAAGAGTAGACTAAGCAGTAGGATCTTTCAGAGAAGGGGTGAACTCGGAATACTCAGTCTTTGAGGTCGATGCCCACCTTCTGAGTCATACTCGAGGTGCACGCAAGCCCTCACTTTACTCCCTCCATTTCTGGGCTCATTTGCCAAAGTGGAACGGTACAATCGATTAACTAGAAATTGATTGGAAATTTAAATGTCTTCTTTAAACTTATATGAGTTTATGTAACTTAGAAATTCACATTCTTATAAATCTATCTATATTTTTTAAATTATATTTTATTTCTTCACGTCACAAGATTACTAATTCAAATCCGAAGTATAAATTGTTAGCATGGTATATACTATACTACCATAATAATATTATTATGAATTTTTTGCGCGTTGTATAATATTTTTATTTTAACAAAAAACTGGATTATAGAAAGCTAATTATAATAGTACGATTACGGTATATTTTTGAAAGGTCATTCTGAATTTAATTTGTTTTTCGGTTTTTTAAATATGTATTTACGATTGTTGCGTTCTTATCGAACATATACTTTTGTTGAAGGCTCGTAAATATACAAAAAATGCAATAGATAATTTAAATGAGTTTTTTTTTATCGATAACAGTGATAACAGTGGGAACAAGTCAGTATGACAGACAAGGTTAACGAAATATCGATTCTCTCACTTTAACCTTTGAAAAAGGAAAAAAGGAAGGTTGTAATTTATTAATATATGACTCACACTGCGGTCGTTTCAAAGTTTAGTAATTTTTGTCGCCTATCGGCAAAGTAAAAGTCATGAAATACGAAATAATTGTCTATACAAAGTTCACATCGCTAACTTAGAATTTTCAAAGATCGGGTTTTTTTTTATTAATACAAATATGAAAATCCATGAATAGCAATATATCTACTTTCTCGTTTCCAGGTACGAAACCTTTTAATTCTACACGATAAGTATAATGTTCCCAGGTGGGTTAAAAGTTCGATCTTAAAAATCAATTATCCTTTATCGAAACTTTTTTAAACTTGTAGTTAGGCCTGTTGCATTTAAACAAGCTAGTTTGATACTTTTAAATTTTCAGAAATAAATATTTAATTTAGAAAACTATCTACAAGTTTTTGGTTCACGCTGTATAATTGATATCGATACGAATATTGTACGATATAAAAGAAGAAACAACGAAATCAAGGTAAATAACGACGAAAACTATTTTATTAATTGTATTTTCTTTTTCAACACAGATTATAAACTGACACAATGTTTTTCTTTATAATATGTTTTATATAATTTCATATAGAAATAAAGCATATAATTAAATATAATTACATTAAGATTTAAATGACTCAAATGAGCAGTTAAAAATATTATTTTGTTAACAAATACGTATTATAATAACATATTATTTATAAAAAGTCAAAAAATTGTCTCTTAATATACAATAATACCTCTCTCTTACGCATTATTTTTAATGTTATAAGAAAATCGATCCTTAGTGGATATAAAAGAATCGACAAAAATGCGGAAATACGTGAAGCGTAGCGTGTTCCGCTAGAAATAAATTTGATAGACTGGATAGGATTACAAGATCCATGCAATTTTCTCGGATTGATACGGTAAAATACGAACCGACGATGAAGCCCAGTATACACGGCACCCCTTTTCAGTATCCTTTTCCCTTCTACTTTATTTTTAATCCAGTATTACAAAGATAATACCGGGAATATATATGTTTTACACGAATAAGAAAATTGATATCGTTAACGAATTTACTTCATGCTTTATCTCGCATCACTCGAATTTATCAATAAAGTAATCTTTTAGCCAAAGAAAGAAAGACAGATTGAACGTTGCAGATAAGAACAATGGCTAAACTCAAATCAAATCATTTTCTTCTTTCTCTCTCTCTCTTTCTCTTTCTCTCTATTTCTTTCTATCTTTTTCTTTCAATTGAAGAAGGAAGGCGTGTAATGTTTTAAAGTAGACGTGATGTCACCATCGACCACGTACGACCAGTTTGCCTGTTAGCTTAATACCAAAGTAAGAACGAAGGACGATAAACACAGAGCATTTAAATCTCAAGTATATTCTTTAAGAGAATTATCGGTAACATTCAACACAAATTCAACTTACGTAATTTTTGCAAGAATGCAAGAAGAATAAGGGAAAGTATTTATGAAAATAAATTGAAGAAAAGATTGAGTGATAAATCGCGTTAACACATTCGCGACCGCTGACGTGAATTCACGTTATTTTAAATTTTAAAAATTTAATAAAAAGAAATTTTTATATATATATTTCTATAAATTTTATGTATTAAATTTATATTTAATTATTTCAATATAATATTTAAATAATTATATTTTATTATTTAAATATAAATTAAAATAATTCATTAGTTT